TTTTAGATGGATGGTCATTACCACCCACTCTACAGCCAAGAGGTCTGATAAGGAGATCATGCATCTGTTTGGGCAGACTGTCACAGAGCATCTCTCGTCAGTGTCCACAACGTTCTCCTGAATGGCTGTGTTACACACTCAAACAATGTCTTTCACTACCTGATAATACATTCAGATTGTGTGACTCAGACCCTGTAAAGTTTCAGGATCTAGGCACATACTGCTAAGGTCTCTCTCTCTGTCTCTGTCTCTGTTCTACTCATGGTCACTCATTGTGAAACAAGCATCTGTAACTTGTCTGACTTGGTTTTTGTGATTCTTTAAGACTCTGGAGGGAAACTGAGTCCCCTTTGACTGTGATGCATGTTCAGCTTCCTTTCATGGGATATTTGTCTCCTGAGATGACCGGCTCTTGTTCAGGGATAGCCACTTCCCAGTGGAGACAGAAAGAGTGAACGTGACTATGTCTGCCCATCAGGGGCTTAGAGTCCCAGATCTCCAGAGATGGAAAGCACACCATTGGCTGTGTACTCCTTTCCTCCCAGTTTTCAAGGATAAGAAATGAGACATAGAGAAGGGAATAGACCTGCTGGGTCCCTCAGCTGCTGGATGCTGGACTGAAACCTTTACTGCCTTACTAAAGACTGTTCTCTTCATAGCATTTGGCACTTCTCTCGGTAGGCAGATCCTTTCCAGAAGTGCCCATTGAGTTATATTTCTCCCATTGTGAAACTGAGAAAAAGGTCAGTAGCAGTTGTTTCAACTATATAATCAGCAGGTTCTGAGCAATCTCCTCTCCTCTCCTCTCTTCTACTCTTCTCTTCTCTGCTCTATTCTCCTCTCCTGTCTTCTTCTCTGTTCTCCACTCTCTTTCCTTCCTTCCTTTCCCCTTCCTTCCTTTTTTCCTTCCTTCATTCCTTCTTCCCTCCCTCCCCACTTCTTTCCTTCTTTCCTTCCTTACTTCCTTCCTTCTTTCCTTCTTTTTACATTTTTATTGACACACAATAATTTTCTTTTTCTAATTGTTGTTTCTCAATGGTCAGATTTTCCTGGATCAAAGTGGGTATATATAGCAAGATTGAAATCTCTGGATCCTTCCGAAGGTCATAGTCAATTTGCAAATGGGCCTGATACTGAGAAAATATAGAAGCCTTTGCAGCTATGGAAAGTTTGCATACTTTGGATCTAAGAATATCCAAACTAAAGCTTGTTACAAGATGTTCCTTCATTCTTTGATTTATTCTTTGGCCCTGCATTGAGATTCTGAAGCTATGGAAGAGTAATGGCAAACACTGAGTTTGCAGAATTATCCTGTCCGAGGTCTCATGTTGCCTCTGCATTGGGATACTCCTTTGATCTTTGGGAAGTAAACTCTGAAAAGAAAACATCATCTACTTCTCAGTGTTGTTCTACAGATTAAATATGGTGAGATAAGAAATGTACTTAGCACACCGGCTGGCAGACAGCCAGAGAGGCATGCTCAGTGAAGGGTCTCCCGTCTCTTTCCTTGGGTGGCCCCTGCCTCTACCATGGGGTTGCTTAAGACTGAGTACTTCACTGAAACCCTCTGTCTCTTGGGGAAAGAAATTCTTCAATCACTACTACGCAGGCCCCTAGTCAAAGAAGAGTAGTGAGAGGGATTCCAGAAGCACCCCAGATCTAGAACCTCTTGGAAACATCCTATATGTCCATCAACAGATGAATGCATAAAGAAAATGTAGTAGTGATACACAATAGAGCACTACTTTGCAATAAAGGACAAACTTGAGTCATTTGTAGAAAATGGATGCACCTTGAGACCATAACATTAAGTGAAGTAAATCAGACACACAAGCATAAGTATCACATGGTTTCTCCTATATGAAGAACTTAACATATAAATATAGTATGAAATAAAAGACAGGTAACAGTTAAGAGAGGAAAAAAGCTATTGTAATTAGCACAAAGTGTCCTTCGACATAGTACAATCATCTTATGGGTTTTATGTTTTTTATCCTATTAGTATGGTTTTTAATCTGAACATAGGATAATTAACTCTTCAGGTCTTGTAAGATAAGTCAATCTGATGCTGGCAGAATAAAAGCGGGGTGTAGGGAAGGGGGAAAAGGATTGAAATGTGTTGTGTGCATGTATCAATTTCCCACAGTGAATGTCATCATTATTTACTGCAAGCATATATTCATAGAAGTTTTTTAAAGAAAGGAAAGGCCGGTGGAAAAGGAAACTTAACCTGATGTTGTTAGAGAAAATGAATCCCAAGTATTGTTGCCCAAAAGTACTGAGGGTGACCTGAAAGAGGGAAGAAAAAATTTCCTCTGAATGTTTTATGAGAAATTAAAATCAAGAGTGTAGAAAAGCCTAACACAGTTTCAACCAAGTGAGCAATAGTGTTAAGTCCACTCTTTTTAAAACAAGAGAGTACAGATTTGACCCTTACAGAGAGGATGCCTTGGAGCAAGAATTTTAAAAAAGACTCTTTGTGTAATCTTGGGGGTTACATGCTTGTTTTGTTAGGCAAGGTCTGACCCAAACACAGCTGATCATGACACTCCACAAGTTCAAAGATCCAAGAACGGGCGACGTTTAGTATTGGCACTGTGCATTCTATTGTCCAACAGTGCACACTGACCGGCCAGTGCCTGACTTGGTTCTGTCCTAAGCAGAGCTTTGGCCGGACGTGAACTGTCAAGATACAAGGCAGCTGCAGAAGGTGACACTTGTGGAAGTTGAGAAAGGCACCTACAGTTGTCAATACGGAATGGGAGTGATGGATAGCACTCTTTCTCTCCTGTCTTTTCACATGACAATTCACCCATGTCTGTCTGTCTTTTTGGCCATTCCCAGAGGAGCCTTATGTAAGGTCACACCTTTCCTTTTGAGAGTCATTCTGATGTTGCAAAATACAAAGTGTAGGGTGCATTTTCTCCTTGCATTCTGCTGTCACAACCAGGTGTTTGGCAAGCACGTTCAGATTCCTGAACATCAACTGTGTGCATAGTAGCAGTGCAGCCAGGAGCAGATAGAATCTCCTGGGCCAATAAAATACACAGGTATCAATGGCATGTCAACTCAAACAAGGCAAGAGCTATAATTTCAGCTTGCCATTATAAAGGTGAATTGTCCGAATCATGAAAGGCCGAGTGGTATTAACCTTAGGACCAGAAAGACGGCAGCTCCTAGAGAGCAGCTGAGAACATAAATCTCTACTGGCCAAGAAGCAGAAAGATACTTAATGGAAGTGTAATTGAAGGATTTTTTTTTTCCTCCTTCCTTAAGCTTAGATAGTTTGGCTGGTGTCACTGGGAATTATCTTAGCTCCTACTCCAGGCAGGGCCAGCTGCCTATGCATGTTATTAAAGAACCATCAGTGAGGGGCGGTCTGTGCTAGAATCAGCCCCACTTCTCTGCTCTGTCCTGAAATTCCCAAAACCAGACTTGTCTTGGTGGTGGAGGAAGCAGTGGCCCCTAAAGCAGCTGTTTAAAAGCACAAATGCTAATTGGGGGTTAGCACCCATTAGTGCAGTACTACCACACAGATTGTTGTATCAAATTAGCTAAAACCCTTCTGAGAGCAAGGACTTTGGAATCATAATAAAGTTCAGTGGAGAAGGAACTTTAGAAGACATCTGGTCTAGATCTTCTGTTTGAGACACTTGAGGCCCAGAAAGGTTAAGTGATTTATTGAAGGTCACCAGAAAATCAGTGGCAAAGCTGGAGCAGAGCCCAGTTTTCACTAGGTGCTTTTGTTTCCCAAATCATCTCATTTATAAACCCTTTGTTTTACAGTTGAGCAAAATAAAATTTACCCATGAGAAATGATGAGCCCAGCCTGGACCCCAACCACATATCCCATATTTCTTGTCCAGTATTCTGTTCTTTATGTCACATTATCTCTTTTTCATAGCCATGCGATTGAGGGGAAGGGTGAAGTGGCAGGTGGCTGAATGGTTTGCATTTTAGTACATCTTCTGTTAATCCATCTGTAAGCCTGGAGAGCCTACCATGTGCAAGGCTCTTCAGCCACTCTGGGTAATGGACAGTAAGGTGGGGAATAGAGAAGTGAGTGGTATGGGTACCCCAAAATTGGAGCAAATATGGGATAATTGAGCCACAAGATGATTTCACCATAAGAATCACACAGAAAAATCATAAATGTCCCAGAAGATGGTCTCTTCTTGCCTCTGTTTGACTCTTCCAACCCATTGACCTTACCCAGTCCTTCTCTAAGAAAGAGGAAACTCTGATTTATTCCTGTAGCCTTGGCCTTCTTCACTGGCAGGGAGATTGTAGGGTGCATTACAGGGCTGGTAGAGCAGGGCTTTGTGCGTAACTTCCACTCTTTTTTACCTCTTTCTTAGACAGACAGGGCAGAGCCTGGCTAGAATCTCTCCTGAGTATGAACTGTATGTAGATCTTAATGTGTTACCACCAGGTCTCCTGGAAAACTCAAGAAGTAGATACCACCATCCCCAATGTACAGTGATGAAATTGAGGGCCAGAGAGTTTACTTTTTCAGAGCCAGACTTAGAGTGAAATCTAACTGATTGCTCAGGCAGGCCCCCCTCACGTGACCTCCATGTCCTCTCCCTTCACCAGGTAGCCAAGGGCACAGAGCTTCTCACTGTGTAGTCTGTTAGCTCTTTGGTTTATGAACCTTCTCTGAGGATACCTCCCATACGTGAGTTATAGGAAGGATGCATTTGTTTTTCTCTTAGTGTCCTTTGTTTCTTTCTTTCTTTCTTTATTTATTTGGTTTTGGTTTTTCTCCAGTACCGGGAACCGAACTCACGACCTTGCGCTTGCCAGGCAGGCGCTTTTGCCGCTGAGCTAAATCCCCAGCCCCTCCTTTGTTTCTTTATAGAGCCTAGTCACCAATGGAACTGACAGCTCACTTCCCCTAGATAGGTGGAAGGTTGTGAATGAGGTTAAGCCCAACTTTCTGGAGTAAAAGGGCCATATTTGGGAAACACTCTTCCACTAACTCTTAGCTATCATTGCAGGTTTGGAGTGCAGCTTTGACTTCCCTTGTGAGCTGGAATATTCTCCTCCACTGCATGACCTTGGGAACCAGAGCTGGTCCTGGCGCCGTGTACCCTCTGAGGAGGCCTCCCAGATGGATTTGTTGGATGGACCTGAAGCAGAACGTTCTAAAGAGATGCCCAGAGGTAAGGGTAGAAGCTGTTGGAAAGTGTCTTGGATGGGCTAGCACTAGGCTGGTGTGCCCTTTTTCTGTCTGAAATGATGAGGCTTTTCTATAAGTCTCTGTCCTGTTTTCTTTGAGATCTGTTATATATGTTATATAAACTGGGAACTGTGTAAGTCTGTCTAATGACAAGTTCAGCCCAACCCTTTCCTCTTTTACTAAGTAATAGACATAGGATTTCATAACTCTCTTCTATGCAGATTTTCCCAAGGTAAGATAGAGAAAAATATGCTTATATCTCAATTTGTTATGGGGTTGCCAAATAAAGTACAAGATATCTGGTTAAATTTAAACTTAAGGTGAACAACAAATGATTTTTAGTGTAAGTGTCTCTCGTGCAATTGTTAGAATGTACTTTACTAAAAGCTATACCAGTTATACTAAAAACTTTAAATGTGATTGAGTGTCCTACATTTTTATTTCCTAAATCTGGCACTCTTAATTTGGACGGTGAAGCAAAACTAGGTTAAAGTTTGTTTCAAAGCTACTCATGAATATTCAGGCTGCACATTTGTTTTGCATGCTGCTTCCAGTAGTTCTTGGCTGTTTATGAACATCCCCTTCTGAATTAATCAAGGTCCAAACAAGGTAGACTCAGAATGAACTTGTTACAAATTTGTAGTGGTTTTAGAGAGAGATGCAGATGTACTAAGCTCTGGACCAGCCTTCAGGTCCCTCTGGTATTGTCAGAACTTTGTCATTTTTATCAGCCAATCAGAAAAAACACAGTATGTTATTGCCATTTCAATTACCATGAGAGTTTTTTTAAAATAAATTCTTATAAGTCACCCAGGCGATTCTGAGATATAGCTATTCTTATACTTGTGACAAGGGCATTCTTCCAGATTTAATCCACACATTAGGGCTCCTAAATTCCTGGATTCAAAAAATTCTGCTAAGCCCAAATTGACAGGCTGTGTCTCTGTTTTGGGCAAAGAAATACTAATTGAGGTGATACTGAGCTTACTGGACATTCAGAGTAGGACTTACAGTTTACAAAGCACTTCTACCTCTGCTGTCCCATTGGGTTTGAATTTTGTGAGGGAAAAGGGCAGATGAAGAAGCTAGGCCTCAGAGAAGGGGGCTGACGGAACCAAAAACAAACAGATCATTCTTCTGGGCCCAGGGTAAATGTTTGTTGTGATGAGTCCTAGATGAGGGAACTTTCTGCCATATCATGTTTCCATCTTTGTAGCGAAAACTACAGCCAGAGCTTGCTCCATGGCTGAGTAGTTAAGGGTGATTACCTCAGGCTCACATAACCCAAGAGCTTAACAGGAACAGGGCTCAGGTAAGCTGATGGAGGTGACACAAAGGTAATTAATTCTCTCAGGTTTATGTTATACATCAGCTTTGAGCCCGGTCATAACAATGGAACTACAAGACACCTTTCCTTTCCATACATTCCCTAAGCTGATCTTTTCTGTTTTTGTGACTCTCTTGAGATTGCCTAATGTTGATTTATATTTTAAAGTACTTTTATTTGGGTACTGATATGTAGCTGAGAGGTTCTTAACCCAATAATGCATCCAAATCTTTTTAAAAAGTTATGAAAAATACTTGGACCCCAGAGCCTAAGATTTAAATTCAACAGATAAGCTATGGAGATTAGGAATGTGCATATTTTAAAATTTTATTATGACATCTAGCATGTGCAAACATGCAAAGATAACATGTACACATAGGCTAAAGATTGCAGTAAAACTACCGTCTCCATTCTTATGACCAAGCATAAGAGTTAGAATGCTATCAGTCCCTTGTCCTCCACCTGGATCACAGATTTCTCTCCTTCCTCAGAGGTAGCCACTATCCTGTATTTTGTGTTAATAATTCCTTTGTCTTGCTTTATGGCCTTATTGCCTGGGTTTATAGTTCCAAACCTCATGTTGATTAGATTTTCATATTCGGTACTTTTTAATATCAGTGGAATCATACTGTTCTTTTGTGATTTTTCTCTTTTGATCCAGGGCTCATTATTTTGATACCATATTGAATCTGTTTGTGAAAATACTACAATTTCTTTGGCTGTATTGGTCTGTATTTGAGTTGTGACCTGGTTTTGGCAGTTGCAAATGACACTACTATAAGTAGTTTTGCACATGTCTCTTGGTATACATGTCCAAGAGTTGCTTTAACAGAGGGTGGCAGGGATGGTGCATTCTCCATTTCATTAGATCCTGTAAATATGTTTTCCCAGTTGGAAACACCACTTTATACTATACTCTCCCATCATTGATGTATTAGTGTTCTTTCCCAAGACTTTATGTTCAATTGCTGGTATTGTCAGAACTTTGTCATTTTTATCAGCCAATCAGAAAAAAACACAGTATCTTATTGCCATTTCAATTACCATGAGAGTTTTTTTTAAATAAATTCTTATAAGTCACCCAGGCGATTCTGAGATATAGCTATTCTTATACTTGTGACAAGGGCATTCTTCCAGATTTAATTCTATTCAACCACCCCCCTAGGGATAGTTCTAAATTTTAATGCCTAACCTCTAGAAACATATCTTTGGTCATTGTACATTTTCTTTTTTTTGTTTGTTTGTTTTTTTTGGTTTTTCTCCGGTACCGGGAACCGAACTCACGACCTTGCGCTTGCCAGGCAGGCGCTTTGCCGCTGAGCTAAATCCCCAGTCCCGGTCATTGTACATTTTCAATGATATTTATATTCTAAAGATTGATTGTGATCACATTTCAGTGAGATCAAGAGAGAAGGACAAGTGACATGTGTGTTTTTTTGGGAATTCCACAGACTTTGTGGAGTCAGACATTATAAATTTGACAGTTGGTCCTTTTAAAATGTTTAAACAGTTCCGATAAACTGCGCATTGTCACTCTGTGACCTGCTTCTTCCTCATCTTCCACCTTGTGATCTCTGGCATATGTGTGTCACACTGAGTGCTGTGAAAACAGGAAGAAGGGCAGGAAGGGAGGGAGACAAAAATAAATCTTCACTTCTCAGTGCTTCTTAGTGTGGGAACATATTAATACCCTTACGATTTTATGAGGCTTGGTGCCATGGGTCAGTACGCGCACTATATGCAGACCTTTTCTCATTAGATGAGTCAGTCAAGATTGGAATGTCCATTTTTTAAGTCAATGTTGTTAACTTTCATCTCTCTGAAAAGCGTCACTTCTATCATCTGGTAGTATGTAGTATCCCTTGGGACAGGGATGTAAACAGCCATAGCAAAAGCCACTGTGGACACAATAGTCTTCTTTATGCAGCACTTTGATGAACAAGCACATGTCAACATACCTAGGAGGCATCACCTGCTGTTACAAACGTATCCTTATTCTTTACATTCTAAAGATTGATTGTGATTAGAGTTCAATGAGATCAAGAGAGAGAGGGACAAGTGACCGGTATGTGTTTTTGGGGAGGAATTCCACAGACCTTGTGGAGTCAGACATTATAAATTTGACAGTTCATCTTTTTAAAATTTTTAAACAGTTGCAATAAACCGTGCACTGTCACTCTCTGACCTGCTTCTTTGTGGGAACTAATGAAAGGATCTGTACTCAAAAACCATTGATCAGTCATGGAAACAGAGAGATCTGCTTTCCAATCACTTCAGGGACTGCTTCTACCATGACATGGAGGGGTGTTCAGAACTTCCAATAATGGGACTGTCATCACTTTTTGAATCAGTTCATCACATCGCTACTTATTCCCTGAAGTAGGATCATTCCTCATTAAGCAAGCTGTTCTTGTAATGTTCCTTGCTTTTCAAGCAAAAAGGTAAGGGGGCCGAGAGTGACAATGACATGCCCAGTCTGTGCAGTGACAAAATGAGGACTCACATTCCAACCCTAGTGCCCCAGTCTTTAGAACTGCAGTTTTTCTGTGGCTGGCAGAAAATGTGCTTATAATGGAGATGAGGAGGAGTAATGGGGCGCTCTTCAGGATCCTAGAATCACTGTTTTATTTTTCCTTAACTAAACATTTACTGGTTGGATAGTATTTAGACTATTGCAGTATTTCATGGGATAAAGAAAAGCCAGAAAAAGGCAGAAAGATAATACTAATCATATAGACAATGAACTGTAAGAGTATACATTTTAGATGTTCTGAATTTATGGCCCCTGTAGCTGAGACTAATAAGGGACATACAATTCAGAGTAGCAAGATGATAAAAAATGATCATGTGATGGACATAATTTTATAAATTAATAAAACCTTGAGGAATCAACAGGTTGAGGCGTTCTGTGACCTTTTAAGAAGAGCCATGGGCATTTTTGATATATGCTACTTCTTATGTTTTAGAATGTTGTCAAGGGAACACATTTTTCTTCTTCCATCAAGTCAAGATTTTGAATTCTAGCATAAGCCCTAGATTAAAAATGGAAAACACATGATCAGTCCATCCTAAAACCTGCCTCTCCAGTTGCTCACTCTTATGCATGCATCGGAAGAACGGGGTTAGACTCAGTGGTGAGGACATTTGCAGTCTTCAACTCAATTCTTCCAAGGCGTTGATACTCAGATTTTTGCTTTGCTTTATTGTGAGGAGGGAGGGCCTTCATGGAGCACAGCTACTGAAGCTTTTCTGTTCATCAAGATGGTTTAGTTTTCAAAAGGTTGAGAAACATTGCGCTGGAGCCCAGAAGCCACTAAGAACATCTCTGCACATGCCTAGATTATTACATCGCCAGAATGGGGTCTTTCAGTCCCCTGCTGCAGCACCCTTGGGTGATGGTTTTTTATAGTTGTTATAGGAAATTCATGAAAACTAAGTGGTTTTAAAAACCCAGACACATATTTTTTTTCCCAGTTCTGGAAGCCAAATAGTTTGAAGTCAAGGTGTCAGCAGAACTGATACCTTCGGAACGAGAGGCTCTAATGAGCGCTCATTTCATGTCTCTCTCCTAGCTTCTTGTGGTTGCTAGCAATTCTTAGTGTTGCTTGGCTTATAGACATATCACTCTAACCTCTGCCTCTATTGCAACAAGGTAT